TCCCAGCACTTCCCCACGCCAGCATGGCTGGCTGGGGAATGCTGGGAGCTGAAGTCCGCACATCTTAATGTAGCCAAGGTTAGAAACACTGGCCTAGAGTATTGCCACCCTTCTTATTTCAAAGTCGTCCTATATCTCTAACTGCCTTGAACGCAGAGCTGAAAGTCTCTGGAAGCAGAATACAAAGAGCATGGCTAATCCTGCAGTTGCTTCCAAGCAGAATGTGTTTGGTGGGAAGATTCTGACCTGCATGTTCCCTGTAACCTTTGGAGCTGATTGACGCTAATCATATTTCTTTTCGTGAAATGTCCTTATCTCCTTCTAATGCTATTGGAACTCCTAGCCCGCGCTTTCCTCATCCTGCGGCAGCGAGATAAGAGCTCGTCCTCCAGATGAGCCCTCTCTGCTCCTCTTTTGCCCATTTGATACTTGAAAAGATCCACGGGGTGCAGTCCTCTCTCGCTTTACTCAGGAGTAAGCCCACTGCAGACTCACCCTCCCCTCCTCCTAACTGCGGCACAAACATGCCCTGTTCATCATTGTTTTATCCAAGTCTTAGGACATTGCGTTCATCTCCAACCCACAGCTGAGGCAGCTCAAAGTTGTCCCGACACAATTTTGGCTGCTGGTACAATCTAGTGTGCCTCACTGACAACGTGGTTGCTGACAGTCAACAATGTGATCGGATCTGGCTAGTTCTTATTGGCTAGTTTAGGCTGTTGTGGCTCCAGTTGCTGGGAGTTGCCCTCCGTGGCCATTTCGGCTTGGACCATAGGACAGACTAGACATCTGTCTCCCGCAGCTGCGTATGCCCGTGTAATGCCCAACCAAGGCTTTCCAAAGCCCTTGTCAGGACTTACACAAGGTCCACAAGGTACTCTTTTGAAAGAACACTCAACCCGTGTGTCAGGAACAGACCTTGTGCTCTCTTGAGGGTTCTGTAGTACGCAGAAAGTTGATTTAAACCAGGAAAGAGCAGGGTTTTGCTCACTGTGTATCACTGGTTCAGCCATCCTCCGGTGCGTCACAGGTTTTCCGCTGCTTTTGCCAGCAAGGGTATGGCCGTACTTTGCAAACGTTGGGATTTTGCATCCTCCGCTCCGGCTCCCTGGCCACCTAGGAGCTACTTCCACATGGCAAAACGAGCCTCCCCAAGGACAGAGCTTGGCCACTGCTGATCGCTCCCTCCCGCCTCACCCCAGGCCCCTCCGCCTCTGCACCCGTTTAGGTAACTTGACAGTGGCTAAGCACATCACTCCAAGTATGCGCCTGCACTCACCCAACCCTGTCCTGCCTCACGCGAAGGAGAACAATTTGTAGTTGTTTTTTCCTGCTGGCAGGTAACACTCAGTGACAGGAGAAATCAAGCAGGGCGAATCCCGTTGATTGCTTTCCTTAACATGGCCCTCAGTGAATAGGTGAAGGCAGCACCGTTCCTTGGCCCCCCTACGGTAGCAGAACAGGGGTCCACAATGAGAGCAGCAAATTTATGCTGGCGTACTTTTCTCCTGGCTCAAGGACAGGTGGACAGCACTTCAAATGCAGCCCTCGGGGTCCTTGTGCTTGACTGGGTTTATTCCTTTATAAGAACACACGGGATTACAGTTTTAATTGCATTTTAGCCAAGCGGATCCCCAGCAGGCCTTCCCTTCCTGTGCAGCTTCACAAGTACTTGCTTTTCCTCCTTTATGCCTCTTGCAACGACAAAGGGACAAATGCTGTTTTTGATTAAGTGTCACAGGCCTGGGAGAGCCGCTTGAGAGGAAAACCGTGTGCAGGTGGGTAGGTGTGAAACAGACGGCTGCAATTTGCAGTGAAGGCCCGTTAGGCTGAGGTGTGAAATCTGATGAAAGGCCTGTACCGAATGCAAGAGGCTCTTCTCTACATTCAGCAGTTTTCTGACTCTTGCCGGCAATCGTAGGAGGAGGATGCTCCTCAGCCCCAGTACGATTAAACACTCTCCTCTTCTTTGGTGATGCTGTAGTCCGTGAGCAAAGTGACACTGATTTCCGAGCCCGTGACTGACATCGCTCTGCTCGGGGTGTTGTTCTGGGTGATGCTGGGCCGCCTTGCGGGCTTCTTGGCTTTGCAACACAAGAGTTCCTTCTTGAAATGTTGGCGGAAGCTTTTACTCAGCCAGTAGAGGGCAAAGGGGTTGACACAAGAATTGCTGAAGGCCAAGGCCCGGGAGAAGATCGTTGCCGCAAGGTGGAAAGCGGATGTATCTATGGAAGTGTGGTAGGTGAACGAACGGTACAGGTAGAGGATGTGGTTCGGCAGCCAGCAGAAGGCAAACAAGCCTACTAAGACCAGCACGGTTTTGGCAACTCGCTTGCGGGATTCAATCTGAGGGGGGAAGACGTATGTGCAAGTTATCATTCCTGGTTTCTACCTAGGCTTCTTAAAATAAGCCAACATCAACATGGCAACTAAAGGTAAACGCTGCTAGAGTTTCTTTGGCTAATCGATGACCCTAAAGAAAGGAACTTTCTGTGTTTTTTTTTTAACTATAAAGCAAATAACATAATGACAATATATAACAGTCCAAGGTGTCTGATTCTTGAGTGCCACGCTGAATGTGGGACCATAAAGCCATGGTCCATCAAGACTCTTCTTATGTTCTCCTGTTCTACGATTCAGATAAACTTTTTCAACAGTGCATCCGGCATGTTCTGCTCACCGGCGGAATTTACAGAAGGGGGTGTTTAAAGTTACTAATTAGACGTGAAAAATCTGGGGAGGGGGAGGACCCAACGTTTAAGTAACGGCAAGTAGAGGATTAGTTGAGAGAACCCATTCGGTGTGGCGATTAAGGCGCTGGACTAGGAGCAGGGAAATTTGAGTTCTAGTTGTGCCTTAGGGATGAAAGCCAACTGGGAGACCTTCGGGCAGACACCGTCTCTCAGCAAACCATTTCTGAAAAAACTGCCAGGAATGCTGCAGGAACGTGTCCATGTAGCTTCCAGGAGTCAGATGGGACTCAGAGACAAAACAAAGTTTGGTTTTTATAAATATAACTGAATCCCTGAACAGGCCTGTTCTTTGCCATTTGTCCAGGAATACTTGGGTTAGCATAACACTGCATGACAAACCTCACAGACACGTGCTCCAGAAACAAAGGGACGCAACTGCAAACATCTTAACTCCAATTGTCTCTGGCCGCTGACAGAACGGCGTTCGTAGATTTATGGACTGTTTGCGCACAGTCCCATAACAGGGAATTTATATTTGAATAGTCAGACCAGCGGAATGCACATTAGTAGCATCTTTAGGCTGCAGTCTAAATCTGATTTATTGGATTCCCAAGTTCAATTGTTCCCAGCATTTTCCATCTGCAGACTGGCAGTCTAGTTTGGTTCATTGCAACAACCAATCTTTACGTTCCCAACTAGAGTCCTGCAAGAGATAAAGATATATTTGGCACACCCAGTAGGGAGTGACTTTGGATTTAAGCTAGCACAGTGTTTCTCCACCTTGGCCACTTGAAGACGTGTGGACTTCAAC